TCCTTTCCAAATATTAATCTTGCATCTTCACAGGTTCATTTAAAATTGTTTATCACCTAAACATCCACCTCACCTCTCTTATTGTTTTTGACAAACTTTTTATTCCCAGTCAAACCAGAGAACTGGACTATGGGGGAAGAAATGCAAAGCTAGAAGAAAGAGACTAGACTAGGGCTTGCTCAGTCAACCTGCAGGGTGAAAAGAGGCCCACAAAGATTTTTGCAAGATCACATAGGTGACTGGTAACAAAACTAAGAGAATAGCCAAGCTCCTCCAATGCCAGCCACTTCTTTTTGTTACTTTACCCAACTTTTCTCAATATTTAAGTCATATTAGAACATGATATAAAAAAATTTAATTGTATAGGTAACATACTCCTGTGGTTCAGAAGTAACAAGGCATAAAAGGATATGCAAAGGTTTTCCTCCTGTGCCTATATCCCAGTCACCCTGTTTTCCCCCCAGAAAGCAATCAGTGTTATCAGGTTTGTTTGTGTGTAATCACTTCAGAGAAATGCAAAAATTGTAGTCTCCTCTATAAACTGTTTGTGCCTTACTTTTTTTGTTTGTTTGTTTTAAACTTTATCATGGAGATGATTCTTTGTCAGTGCATAGAGTCCAATTGATTCTCTTTTATGGTTACATTGTGCTGTGTTCCATCGTACTGATATGCCATTTTTTATTTAATTAACCTCAATTGATATGTATTTAGATTGTTTACAATTTTTAGTTCTTATTAGCAGTACTTCAGTAAATAACCTTGTGTGTTCACGTGTGTAAATGAATAGGTAGGGTAAACTCCTGAAAGTAGAATTACATCTTTTGTTATTTTTTGAAGGTATTGTCCAGTTATCCTCCACAAAGTTGGACACATTTACATTCTCCTCACCATTATGTGAGGATGACTATTTTATCATGCTCTTACTAACAGTATATTATCAACCTTTAGATTGTTATATCTCAAAGGTGAAAAATGCTATCTCGGTTTAGTTTTAATTTGCTTTTGTCTTAATATGCATCGGGCTAGGTATATTTTTACATGTTTAAGAAACTCGATTTACCTTTCCAGAGGTTTTGTGCACCTAATCTTTGCCCCTTTTCCTATCGTTCTTTTATTGATTGTAGAAACTCTTTATATATTAGGGAGATAGTCTTTTGTTCATGGTTGGAACTGTAAACTTTTCCCAGTTTGTCTTTTACCTTGCTTTTGATATTCCTTTTGCTGTCTCAAAATTACATGATGTTTTATGTAGTTAAATTTATCAGTTTTCTAAATCATTTTTTCATTTGTATTATACTTCGATAGGCATCTTCTACTCTAAGATTATTTTCAAAAGTCTTTCTTATTTCTTATGGTACTTTTGTGGTTTTATTTGTTTACTTTTACATTTAGGTATTTGATTCATTTGAAATTGATCCTGTTGTAAGATGTGAGAGTAGCTTCAGCTTCATTTTTTTTCCCCACTTGGTTGTTGTTCCAGCACCATTTATGAAGTAATGTGTTTTTCCTTATGAATTTAGGATAACATCATTATCCTACATTCTATTCTTACATGTTTCAGCTCAGTTTCTTGACTTTCTGTTCTGTTCCATTGACACATCTATAGGTATGTGCTAACAGTATATGTGTTAATCATTAGTATTAATATTTCTTAATATCTAAAGGGCTGATTCCCTCTCACTGCAAGGTTCATTTTAAAAGTAACAGCATAATTTGTTTCCCATTTATATTTATGTAATAACTTACATAATATCTATTCATATGATAACATCCTTTTTTTTTTCCTCCTGTTGCCTTCCCCATATGTAATATAAAAAGCTGGTAAATTCCAAAATAGTGAGATATAAGTTCAGGTGAGATTATGAGGACAGACTTCCCACAATTATCAACTGATGTGTTTTGGATCTGATGAAAAAGGACATCTTTAGATGGAGTTTCTTAATATCTATTCATATGATAACATCCTTTTTTTTTTCTCCTGTTGCCTTCCCCATATGTAATATAAAAAGCTGGTAAATTCCAAAATAGTGAGATATAAGTTCAGGTGAGATTATGAGGACAGACTTCCCACAATTATCAACTGATGTGTTTTGGATCTGATGAAAAAGGACATCTTTAGATGGAGTTTCTTAAGAAGCAAATGCACATTGTTCACCTGGACCACGTTTCTAGGGATGAGAGTGCTGTGAGTAGAGGGAGGAGCATCCTTAAAACCATGTAGCACGTGTGTATTGAAAATAATGGAGAATAGACTGATGGTTTCAAAGGTCCCATAGTTTTCACAGGTTAACTGTAGTTCCTTAACATATAGGAAATATTAATAGAACTTTCAGAAGTTAAATCAATGCAGGAATGCACACAATTATTCTTTTCTCCTGGGCTGACCATAGCTTTATGAAAATTAATTTGTAAGTATCCATTCTTTGCATTGGGCTTCTTGGCAAGAAATGAAATCTGTACAATACATTACCTCTGACTTTTTCTCTGAGAGCTCAAGGATAGACATATGGATAATAGTTTAAAAATATAAATATGGTCTTTCCAGTCATAGAAACCTTCCGATCCAAGAGGTGCTTTTCCCGCTTTCTAAAAAATATAGGGCTATATACTTATACCCATAAAGCACCAAGGCAAAATACATGGTATTTGACACTAAAAAAAGCCCCACTGACCTTTTCTTGAGTATCGCAGCCCTGTGATCAGAGTGACTTGCAGTCAAATCTAGATGCCGAGCTGCTGTGCCACCTTCTAGCCACCAAGTCCTATAATTAACCATTTTTGTTCGGTAAAATTACAGAAGAGGTGCTGTTTGGTAAGATATTTTGTTCTATTTTAGTACCTATAGTTCATCTAGGAAAATGGCTGTCAGTTGGTTTTTTCGCATACTTATCCCATTTGTCTATTTGAATCTGTGAATAGGGAGAAGTACATTCTTACAGTGTCACTGTAGGAATGATTATCCCCTCCCACCCATCGCAGTGTAGACTGTCCTGATCTCTAGAAGTCTCTTTATTGCGTCCACACTGGGGGAGATTTGACACTTTCTGATTTGTGCACCCATATAGGTTGGCAGTTTGGAATTTATGAAGGCTCTGTGAGGAAAGGCCACTGCCAATATAGGATTAGTTTTGAAAAGAGTTCTGTCTAAACAGATCTGCAGCCTTCTTTTACCAAGTGCGCAAACATGAACTAGTTCAACCTTATTGGGATAAGACCTATAGACAGTAATATAAGATAAGGATTGTACATATAAGTTTCGTAGTCAAAATCATCATGAGTGGTCTAAGTAATTGTCAATTAAATGTGATAGAGCCTGTGTCAGATGTCATTCATGGAGATCACTGTAGTTTCATGAGGTGCAGAATTGTAAAATACTTGCTAAATTTCCCTGGTAAAATGTTAAGTCTTTTAAAGATAAAGACAAATCTTACTCATCTTTATATTCTCAGCACAATGTCTGGCTCTTAATGCTTGTTGAATGAATAAGTGAGTGAATGAAACTCATTCCTGAGTGTTTGGAATGAAGAGGTTAAAATGTTTCCTGGAAATAAAAACCATACATGTGTGCCCATACTCGCCGCTCCACTCTGATTGCGGGGGATACTTTAGGAGCCCTTCTCCAGTAATCTTTTAATTGAGTAGGCAAGAGAAATTTTAACATCTTCCTGAATGGGTGGCTATGGAATTATAGCAGTGAAGTACGAAGGCTCCCTCCTCCTCAACTCATTTTTTAATTCCTCTGTGGAGAGTAGCGATAAATGATAGAACAAAACATTTCAGAGCATTGTGATGCGATTAGCTGTCACCAGAAGAATCAAACAAAGAAACATTTTAGGAACAAATTGAAGAATGCCACCAAGGTTGATACTGCATTTGAGACACTCCATTAAAACTAGAACATGCTTATTTTTCTGTTGCCATAATGATACCCTTTTAAAAGAAAATGTTACCATACATACCCATCCCATTAGGTTACTGATCTTGTATTAAACTCAGGGTTTCTGGTTATTTTGTTTAAACAAAGATTATGACTAAATATGAAGACTCGAATGTAGCGAGCGTGTTTGAATTTTCGAGCTGGTGAGGAGCCTACAGCTGAGGAAAGTGAGTGACTTCTCCAGTTTTGTGCCATGACTAGGACTACGGCTTTGGCTTTTCTGATTTTCCAAATAGTGCTTTTCCATCACACTGTGTAGTAGAAATTTTTTAAAATTTGTGATCCTGGAGCATTTGATCCCAGAACATTTAAAAAATTTTGTGCATTATGTAAGTCAGGGATTGTAAACTATGGCCCGTGAGTCAAATAGCCTCTTTTTGTACATAAAATTTCGCTGGGGCACAATCACACCCATTCATTTATGTATTATCTATGGTGCTTGCACTGATAGAATGAGGAATTGCATTAGAGACCAGGTGACCTGCAAAGCCTAAAATATTTATTTATTTATTTATTTATTTTTTATTTCAGCATATTATGGGGGTACAGATGTTTAGGTTACATATGTTGCCCTTGCTCCCTCCCTCCCTCCCTAAGTCCGAGTTTCAAATATGTCCATCTTTTGGGTGGTGCGCATTGCACTCTTTGTGTGTGCATATACCCGTCCCCTCCACCCTCCTCCCGTAAAATATTTATTATCTGGACCTTTATAGAAAAAGTTTATAAACCCTTAGTATAAGGTAAGGATGAAAAATACCTTAAAAATTAACTATCAACTTGTAGTAAATTGTGAGTAAAATACGCTTTCCAAAAAAGCCAAAAGGTCAGCTTGTTGTTGAGAGATATAAATGATCTGTCTATAAAAAACTAAAACACCTGCTTGCATTAAAAATTAAAAACAAAAAACTGGGTTTCTATCTTTGAGCTCCTGGACTCAGATTTTAGTTGCCACAATGAAGCCTGTGACTTAAATAGCATTGACTCAAGATGGGAAATGCCTTGTTTATGTTGTGCTAACCCTGATGGAACTTGAACACTCACCAAATGTCTTCCCTCTTGGCAGGTGGAGTGGATCCAACAGCAAGTGGTGAAAAAACGGACAAAGAGGGATTATGACCTCAGTCGTACTCAGTCTACCTACTTCAATGATCCAAAGTGGCCAAGCATGTGGTATATGGTAAGTTCACTAAGGAAGCCTGGCCTGGGGCCATGTCATCCAGTTTTGCATTGTATGGGGAACATTTGTTGGACTGGGAGGATGCAGAAATAATGACCAGGGACTTTTTCCTGTTTCAGGACCCACCGTTTGAAATTGGTTCATGGTCTATGATGCTTTCTGTATCTTTTTGAGCTTAGATCTTTGATTCTAATAAGGGGAAAGAAAAGGGAGCTCTGATTCACAGAAATTCTGTTTGAGAGCTTACTATGTGCAGTAGCTTGCTAAGTTTGGGCCAGAGAATAGAAAAATATACAAAGATGCAGACACCCTTAGACCTATCAATAATCATGTTTACCTCTGATACACATTTACTGCAGCCTGAAACCAGTCTAGTTAATGGATATTGGTTCTTGGAAATCATTGCAATGACTGCTGGTAGGTAATAGACTTATGCCATCTAATGTGTGCCCTCTCACTTCAGGTAATAGTTTTTAAAAGTAGACCAGGGAAAAAATAATTGGAAAGTGTGTGACTTGGTAGTTCAGTGGTTCAATCAAAAGGTTTTCAGTGAAAAAAACTTACTTAACATGTTGGAAAGAGTAATCCACCAGTTCAGTTGACATTGCCTCTTTTGAAAATGTACGTCTCTAGCCTTAGGGTTTTTAGGTTCATGATCACTGAGAAGTGAATTAGAGCATGTTAGTCATGAAATCTGCAAGTCACTGATTTGCTCTACAATGTGTAAAATGCCCTTTACTTTTCTCTTTCTTGAAAATTTTTATTGCTGAACATTGCCAGCATATTTTCCGCTATACTACTTTATTTTTTGTAATCCCTATTCCTGCTTCTCTACATAATGTCTCCAAACTGAAGAAAGGACAGGAATCCATAGCATTCCCCATGCCCTCCTCACATTCCTTCTGCCTGGAGCGTTCTCTCTGCCCTTCCCCACCTCTTAGGGTCAGGATCCTCCCATCCCTCACTGCTCCAGGGGCCTCCCCTGCATCCTCGTTTGCCATCCTGTTCCCTCCCCCTGGTCTCCTGGCCCTCTGTCCCTGCTGAGGGCCTGCTCTGTGTCCTGATCCCTCTCTGTATGCCCCCCTGAGAACCCAGCCCCGCACCTTGCATTGCTGGAATCTGTGCTTCTTTGGAGGTGGGTGAATGTGGCTGGTGTTTCTCCCAGCTTCCTTTTGCTTAGTCATACCCAGAAGTGGAAGGTTATGGAAATATGGTGGAGCCCAAACAGAACTTTACACAGAAAGCTTTCTTGTGTTTAAAGGGAAGAAAGGGGGGAGCCATAAAGCTAAGTTCAAGGGGAGGTGGGAATCTAAACATCTTTTAAGTAGGAGTCACGTGAGGGGACAGTAAAACACCTAATGGCTTATTAGCCCTAAGACCAAAAAAGAATGAACCACAAGGGAAGGTACTAGAGTAATTGCTCCAGGAGCTAAGGAGCTTTGTCTGCATTGACAACATGATAAGAATGTTTTGGGATTAAGAGATCAGATGGAAGCAAACTGCCTCTACACTCCTGTCTATGTAAGACCAGGGCGAGGCAGACCCTCCTTGCCGTCTGTTTCTCGTAAGGAAGAGCCAAATCGTTGTCTATGCGTGTCCCACTAGACGACAGACATATATGGCAGCTCTTCCTGATCCTCTCATCACGCCAGCAGGCCAGGCTGGACTCTCGTGGGAACCACGGCCAAGTCTTTAGCCACATGGCTAGGCCAGTGACTGCGGGTTTCAGTGCCGGCGTAGTGAGATTGCATCACTTCGAAGAATCACTGCTATGTAATATTTCACTGCAACTTCTTTTTCTGACATGAGGGAAGGTTGAGAGAAGAGCTTTTGTTTGGCCATTTAAAACGTTGGATGTTTTTCAGCACTTATTCGATAATAATAATCCACATAAGTAACATTTATTGAACACTTTACGATGTGCCAGGCAATGTGTTAAGCACTTTCTGAGTATTTTTCTAATGCAGTGTGAACAAACACGTGTGTTAATATTGGCCCTGTTATAAGAGCAAGGAATCTGTGGCTCATGAAATTTAGGAGCTTGCCTAAGATCACCAGGCCTGAAAGCGGAAGACATGCCAAAGCAGGCAAGTTGAAGCGGTGTCCACAGGATTAGCACAACATCCCGTCTTTACCTTTCTACTATTTACAAACATTGCGAGGGAGCTTCTAATCTTTTCTTAGAGAGATGACTAAAATGCAAGGCAGAATGGTGGGTGCTGTGTAGGCTGAACACAGTATCTTGGGGACAACCAAAGCCCGCCATAGATTCCTATGAAATGGTTACTTTTCCCTCAACAGAAAGGATGGAAAATAGGAGATATACCTTATGTTTATCTGTCAGGAGTATTAGGACAGAGTGGGAGGTGGGACCCTCAAATCTGCAAACCCAGATTCAAATCCCTGCCATTTCACTTAGTCTGTCCCAGATCGAATCAGTTAAACTCTCCTCAACTGTAGCAATAAAGGTGTCTCGCTCTTGTGTATGAGTTGTGTATGCTGCATAACAAAACACCGCAGAACTTAGTTTTTGAAACCACAATTAGCTCATGGGTTCTGCAAGTCAGGAATTCAGAGGCCAGTGATGCTGGCTTTCCTCTGTGATCCTGTGATTTCTCAGGCTTCAGACAAGGTGGCCCAGTCGTGTGGCTGGCAGATTGGTTCCTCTCCACGTGGGCTGCTTGCGTGTCCACTTAACATGGCACTGGCTTCCCCCAGACAGGTGATGCGAGAGATCTTGTTGGACATGGTGATGTCTTTTATGATCTAACCTCAGAAGTCAGTTACTACTGACTCAGCAACCTCAGCCAGTTACCATTGTCATTTTCTGTTGGTAACATGAGGCAGTGCTGGTTCAGAGTGCAAGGGGGCGAGGCAAGGGCCTGTCTGTTAGGAGGGCACGGTCGCTGGGGGCCATGTGGAGACTGTCAACCACAATCAAATGAAGTTTTTCATGAGAAGCCTTTAGCACAGCGCCTGATGCTAGAAAACCCTCAGTAAATCATTATTATTATTATTATTCTCTGACTTCTTAATTGCAATCATGCTGGTTCCTTTTTATCTGTTGTTTAAATTGCTATTAGTCAAAGATGGACGAGAGCTCATGTCCAGTGGGTATTCTTCGGAGCGGTGTTCGGTGGCACGTTAACGACACAGCCAAGGCAAGGTGTGATTTCCTTCTCCCTTTTTCTGAGCCCTGGGCCCTGCAGCAGTGCTTCTGACTCTCATAGGTCCTGCCTCCAGCTCGTTAGCCTGGGCCTGTTTCTGTCATTCAATATTTATCACAGGAGAATGGAGATTAAAGAATGGCATGAAGTGTGCCTGAGTGTCTCTTTTAATTAATTTAAAAGCTTTTCCCATGTCACTCCTCCCCTGGAAACCGGTGTGTGAAACCCTTATGTCTAGCCTTGAGGCTTGGGCAATATATTCAGGCAAATGTGCATTTACGAGAGTTTGTTATGGAGATAATGGCCTTATAATTACTGCTGTGTCCTGAGGAACTGTGCTCAGGTTTCCGGGATTTGAAGATCCCAATCCTAGAAATACAAGTCACTTTTTGTTGCCTCCACAAAGTTCTCCTGCATGTCTTCTTTGTCAGGCATGTTACCAAGCAATGAGAGTTTAGAAAAGCATGATTTTCACCTCCTACGAAGGTCAGTAAAGGTGGGAGGAATATGTAGGCAACAAAGAAAGTTTGCTGAGCGAGCGACTTCTCCCTAAAAGTCTCCCTGGGATCGTGTGTGTACATCCAGCCACTGCTGCTTGGGCATTGGGCTGTAATTTTTGCTTGCAGATTTGCTTCTTCCGTTAAAAGCTCCTAGAGAGCTTTAACTTGAGCAAGGTTGGGCCCCACTGTCAGAGAGTCTATGTTCTCATATGGAGAGGGGCTCAGGCAGTGGGATTTCATCAGAACTCCCTGGGTGATTCTAATGTACAGTATGTGGTAAATGATCAGTAAATTCTAACTGAATAAATGAATGAGCAGTTTAGAATAAAAGCACATCTGTGATCACCTCCCTAGTAGAGAATGCTTAGTATGAGTCAAGCATTTTGCCATGCTTTCACATGTCTCATCTTACTACCAGTGTTCCAGTGAGTCAGGAGCTGCGGTATCATCATCTGCATTTTGTAGATGAGGAAATTAAAGCATGGAAAAGTTCAGTAACTTGCCCACGGTCACACCATTTACCAGGGGCAGACTTCGGTGTTCAAATGCAGTCGCTCACTTCTTCTAACTTCCTTCTACACCCGTGGTTCTCAATGGAGCAGGCAGCAAAATCACCTTCTCAAAGGCTTCTTAAAACAGATTGCTGAGCCCCTCCCACCTTCCCAGGGTCTGGGAGTTTGCATGTCTAGCAAGTTCCCAATTGGTGCTGGATGCTGGGGTCCCAGAACCCCTCTGAGAACGGACGTCCCTACCATACTATAAACTAAGTTTATGTGAGCACAACCTGCTTCTGTCGCCCGATTATCAGGTGGGGAAGGAAAGGCTTTTAAACTTATGAGGCATTTTGAAGCACGCTGGGCCAATTTAACTTTTTCTGAGTCTTATGCCTTTTCCTTACTGACACAGTTTTCTCTTTGGGAAGCTGACAGCTTTAATATGAGAAGATATTTTCACTTTATCTGCACTGATTGAAAATACCCTTGGCTTGTATATTCTTTCAAGCTGCTCCTGAGACAAAGGGTATCTGATAGGAAAGGTCGTGAGCATTTGCCCAAGTCATTGGGAACTCAGGATAATAGAATTGGTTTTAAAGGACCTAGCTGGTACAAGGGACCATTTTTACACGACTAAAGAAAATGCAGTTTGACTCCACAGATAGCAAAGTGAAACAAGACTTCCTCAAGGATCTGGAACTGCCGATTGAGCAAGTTCGGGGAGTTACATATTTTAAAAATTGTTATAAAATATTTAAGACATACAAAAAAATCTAACTAATACCTGCCCTAAACTGGAGACTAGAACATTATCTATATAATTGAACTCCCCTCTGATC